GATTTATTGTTCCTGTATATCACTGGAAATTTGATGTTCATTTCAAGAAGATAGAAATTTGCAAAGTTGATGTCATAAATTCAATATCCTGGCTGGACTAAGCATACATATAGGTCACCTGACAACTCACCAGACTCGTATGCCCATGGAATCTGGGATGGATACCAAAATGATGATGAAATTGACCACGATGTAATTTGGAAGCTGATATCAAGATATATGAGCTCTGGTCCATCGACATTTCACTGGATTATTAACATTCTTGCTGACATAAGGTATTCTCTGCATATTATAAAGTATACACTGATCGTTGAACCATTTATTATAACATTCTTTGTAATCTTAAATCTAGTACAATTGAAATTTATTATGATTCAATATTCCTATAATCTGTGAAGGTGTAATGCATTATATCTGGGGGAATATTCCATTTATTCCATTTCGAAGATTTATCCAAAAGTATTAGTGATTATCTTACATTCCAATTATAGGAGAATATTTAGTTGACTCATCCTGTATATGGTGATGTGTAAATTTCAAATTGCATGATTTCATTCGATATTTGTGATATATCATTCATTATGATTGTGTTTATGCATGACATGGAAAATGCATAGTCCTAATCAATATTTTTTTTTGTGACATATTCTATAGTTTGATGCAGACTTACCTACACATTCCAGTCAGTAAATGAATCGAAATTTTATTTGTTTGATTTGTTTTCCTATCCTTCAGCACAGGCAATATCTTTCTACAGGGATTGGCTTAGGAAAGAGGTTTGTTGAACTTTATTTTCTGTAGATGGCGTCCAAATAAAATCTTATCTGGTGGAACTATCTTTCTTATGCCAATTGTTATATTTTTGACAAAGTTACATGAAATGGTAAGTAATTGAACCACGGCCTTCTTGCCCCGACTATATGAGCTGACCGTTCGCATGGTATAACCAGAAATTATTAAATTTCTCACGTATAAGGGTTATAGCCAAATGTTCAAAAACTGATCCTGGCCGCTTCAGGGCATGTACATAAATTGTGTTTAGCCATTTCATACTCCTCCATGCATAGACAGCACTCTGCATCTTGTGCAAGTCCAACTTTGTGCATGTGGTGTTTGAGTTTGCAGTGGCCAGGGAGCAAGCAAGCAAGCAAATAAGTTTCGTAGATAAGTAATATAAGTAATTTGTAAAGATTAATTTAGAATACATAGTTGAAATATATTATTAGCAACTTTTAGAAAAACTAGTACATAAAAGACTCCTATCATTCTTGGACGCCTATAAAATCATAACTCCCAATCAACATGGATTTCTGAACAAAAAATCAACTTCTTCAGCAATGTAAGATATCACTCAAGCAATTTATAATAAATTAGACACGAGGATCAACCAAATCGGGTTAGCCTGTGACTTTAAGAAGGCTTTCGATAGTGTGAGTTTTGAAATACTGCTCCTCAAACTTGGGCATTATTGCATAAGAGGCACGCCTCTCAAATGGTTCACTAATTATCTTTTCCGTAGACAATAAAGGGTGGTCATCTCTAGAGACAATAAGAAAGTTTATTCTGATTGGGGTTATATAAACACAGGTGTACCACAAGGATCCATCTTAGGCCCACTTTTATTCATTCTATATATCAACGATCTGCCAAGCAATATTCCTCAGGCCTCCACAACGATGTTTGCCGATGATACATTATTCCTAATCAATGGTTCAAACCCGCAAGAATCTACCCTGAATCTGAACTCGACATTGATAACAATAAATGATTGGTGCGAAATAAACAACATTAGTGTAAACTTTTCCAAAACGCACTGTGTAAATTTCTGCCAGAGGCCTTTATTAGATGTAGTTGATGTTGCCTTCAATGTAGCCTTTGTAGATGAAAGTAAATGTCTTGGTTTCTTATTGGATTCACAAATGAACTGGAAACATCATATTCAACACCTCAATAAGAAATTAAGCAGCAGTTGTTTTGCTTTGAGAACCTTGAAAGCGAATGGTCTATTCATCGAAACCCTAAAAATGGTTTATTTTGCGAATTTTTACTCTCATATGTCCTATGGAATTCTTTTCTGGGCTAAATCAATGATGTGGAAATCAGTGTTTGTGCTACAGAAAAGGGCAATTAGAATAATATTAGGACTTTCTCGAAGTACTTCGTGTCGTCAATATTTCATTCAAATGAGAATTTTAACATTACCTTCACTCTACATTCTTGAAGCTTTATGTTTTTGTCACAAAAATCGAAATCTGTTCAATTTTAGTTCTTCCTCCACTCGACAATGCTACAAAATGATCTTACTTCCTCATCATAACACATCGTTTTTTGAGAACAGCGTTTATTACAGTAGTGCGAAACTATTCAATAAACTGCCTACCGATTATAAGTTTATACCATTCAATAAATTCAAAAGTTCAGTGAACAATTTTCTAATAGATAAAGCATACTACTCAGTACTTGATTTTCTCAATGATAATAATATGTGATATGTGTAATGTCTATACCGAAAGCGTTATGAAAAGCACTTGTATAGTTCCATTGTTTCAGATATAGGTACTCTCAACTTTTTATTTATTTTTATGTAAATGTGTAGTATGAGCGTTAAGTTATACAGGTGGGTCACGGTAGATGGCACCTTAGACGTTTACGGAGAACGGGACATAAGATCATTCTGAAAATTTGGTTACTCAAGTAATTGCTCTTGATCTATCGATCTAAAATATTTTCAGCTCTGCGGCGTTGCCGCTTCTATCGAAAAGTAGCAACAACTTTGTTTTTTTAAATGGAACACCCTGTATTTTATCGCATTTTCAGATTCTCTCTGAAGAGCTGATTTCATCGATGTATCACACTCGGGGTCTAGCGGGAATGATTACAGAGATATAGGGTGTGAAAAATCGACATTTTTCAACTTTAGGAATTTTTTTTGTCGAAACTATTCATTATTGGTCAAAACGGCTTACATGTCCCTATCTCAACTTTTGATTAACTATCTACTGATATTTAATTGGGACATATATCGGGTGATCAAGAATCTGAATTCTGCACCACCCTGTATTTGTTTCAATTAAATGTCAGTAGATAGTTGATCAAAAGTTGGGATAGGGACATGTGAGCCGTTTTGACCAATAATGAATAGTTTCGACAAAAAAAATTCCTAAAGTTGAAAAATGTCGATTTTTCACACCCTATATCTCTGTAATCATTTCCGCTAGACCCCAAGTGTGATACATCGATGAAATCAGCTCTTCAGAGAGAATCTGAAAATGCGATAAAATACAGGGTGTTTCATTTAAAATAACAAAGTTGTTGCTACTTTTCGATAGAAGCGGCAACGCCGCAGAGCTGAAAATATTTTAGATCGATAGATCAAGAGCAATTACTTGAGTAACCAAATTTTCAGAATGATCTTATGTCCCGTTCTCCGTAAACGTCTAAGGTGCCATCGACCGTGACCCACCCTGTATAATCTTAGCATATCTGTGTAATGGTGTACACCAACCAATTTCAATTGCTACGAAATGGATTTGTATTGTTTCAGGTACACTAAGAACTTGTTTTTTTTGTATCCTTATATATTTTTTTGTAAAATGTTCAGATATAATGATCATTCTAGCACAACTATCATTTTAGGACAACTACTGTGCACTTTCCTACAAAACTTGTTTTTTTCTGGAAATAAATATCTTATCTTATCTCATCTTATTTCAATCATTATTGGTGCAACTTATAATCCGGGAGATAAGCTTAACAAAAGTTAAAACACTTTGGCAGTTGAAATCTCAGACCCCTGGATTATACTTTCTCCACTGAAAGTTGCCCGGTGCGAGTGGACCTACCACTATAAAATAGGTGGCGCCCGAGTTCATTAGTTAATAACCCGAGTTGGAGCGCTAAACAACTTACCTCAGAGTAGATAATGTTGCACTACTATAACTCTGAGATGTGCTCTACTGAGTTCTAGTCCTGTTTGTTCCTTGTACAAGCAATGCATGCTTTGGAATAGACTAGGCCTGGTAGACTACACCAATACTCGAGTGTTTTGTTGTCGGCCCAGAATATTATAACATTCTTGGCAGTGCTATATGCTATACCTATTACCGGTTCTGGCCCAGTGAACGATGTTTCGCCCCCCCCCCTCCTTTTGCTAGGACGTCCGCTGTTTCGTTCCCTTCTAGGCCCGTGTGACCTGGTATCCAGACTAGGTTAACGTTATTGTGTTGTGCCAGTCGGTTTGAGGTTTCTCTGCAGTTCCATACTGCTCTGTCAGTACTTTATATACAAAAAAAAGGTCTATCGCATTTCGTTTCGGAGTTATCGACCTTGAAAGTTTGAATAAAAAAAATATATTTCATGTATAACTTTTGCACGGTTGCCATGGTATCAATGATATACTATACTTATACTAATGCACCTTTCAATATGTGAACGGCTGTTCAGTGATTGTGTTTTATACATGATCAGACGAATTTTTTCCGTTTGATGAAGGCATTTTTGACAGGTGACAAATTTGACATTTTGCTTCCACCGTTTGATTCCTTCATCTTTGTGCTACGAAAATAGTATGATTCATTTTAATCGGTATATTGTACCGTTCTAAGGAATATCGCATCTTAAAAACATACATCCCATCAATTTCAAGGGTAATAAAAACTCTATTCAATAACATCATAGCAGTTGCAGGGCTGATAACTCATCCTTTTTGTGTCGTAAAATGATATTAAATCTGTTTCCTCCATCAGAACTTAGCAAATGAGCATTCTAACGACTGGGTCATGTCTAGGAAAGCTTCAAAACAAAAATAAACATCGAATTCTAGGTTTTGGCGTACATCTCACGAAAGTGAACATGGAATGTTCAAACTATTCATTGCATTTTTAGTGACATTATGGGATAAATCAACTGATTTGACCGTCCTAGAAATATTTTGAAATGAATTACAGAAACGGAGATCAAAAATTCCGCAAAATCTAGAGAGATGGAATGAATGGGCTTACCTTTCTTTGGCAGATCTCAAAGTATCAGATAGGTTGCTCCATTCACCATCGGTATCTGAATACTGTCTGAAGATTTTGAAATACTCTGCAGGTACTTTCAGGATAACCTCCATGTGCTTCTTGAACCTCTCTAGAGTCATCCTTTTGTCTACCAGAATCCTACAACACCTATAAAAATCGAAGAACAAAGTTATATTTATTATGAATATTATAGAGGGAATTCAACACCTAACATTTTTGACCAATTAGAAGCCTGTATATTGTATCCTTACCACAGCAACTAAACGAATTACCGGAATTGTTTTGCTTCCTAGGGTAAGGGCAATAATAATACATCAGATAGTATCCGTGAAAAAGAAATTGGTCCGTTATCCATGTATCCATCCTTGAGTAAGAATAATTAGTGACTTGTTCTGTATATCATAATAGGGAAGGAACCGAAAATGGAAAATAGTATCATAAAAAGTCATAAATTTTGCGAAAAGAACTTAACCCATTAGTGCATGAAGTAACTTTTTTTCTAATCTCTTCATTCTGAAGATGTATACTCATTCAATATAACCAAAGAATGATAACTCATGACGAATAATGTTTTGTTTACAACATATTTTTTTTATATGACACGTCCATTTTAATGGACTCCATGCAAATTAGTTCATTGATGAAAGTGATCAGTAGGGAATTTCAGTATCCATTTTTATTCAAGTACATATCCAGAACATGAGAAACTCAATAACATCAATCACAATATTATCAATAATAATAATGATAATAATAATAATGGAAATTATACATCATGATGACTTGATACATTTTGAAGCATCTCTCAGATGCAGTCCTATTTTACATATAAAATTGCAATTTTGTGTACTCTACTGAATGGAATTCAGCTGATCCCAAATAATTTCTTGATATGATGCATTTCCATATACAGGGTGTTTCATAATTGAATGTCAATATTTGTGCAGGCGATTCTTGGGCCCATTCTAAGAAGAAAGTTTCATATGAACGTATGACCTAAAGGTTCTAACTTTTGAGATACAGGGTGGTGAAGTTCTCAAAAATTGATAGTTTTTTATTGATATCTGTAATACCACTTCAGATATTCTAATGAAATTTGGCATACATGTACTATAAATCAAGAGGCATCAGTAAGTGTACCACTTTTTTTTGATTGCCACCAGTGGCGTTCGTATGGAATTTCACATACCTATTTTGGCAGACATTGATGGTACGCCACTGATAAACCTCGAAATTGAAATCATTCCTGAAATTCCCAACCATTTCTAAGCGAATTTGATCACCATCATTTTTTCAATCTGAGGCACGGTTTTTGCTTAAAAAAAATAAAAATCTTCTCACTACATGACTATAGCAATATCGTTAATATGACAATATCACAATGCAGAGAAAAATATTTCATTTTTTAGATCAAACTTCAGAAACACAATTCATAGTTTATGAACTTCGTATTCGTATTTGGTATTTTGGAATTATAACTTCTCATTGTAGTAGGCTATTTTAATTTTTGAGAACTTTACCACCCTGTATCTCGAAAGTTAGGAAGTTCAGGTCATAAGTTCATATGAAACTTTCTTCTTAGAATGGGCCCAAGAATCAAATCTTCGAATATCGACATTCAATTATGAAACACCCTGTATGTCTAAGAAGTGTTCCAAGAATGATCTGCAAAAAAATCTTGATGACCGATAAGCATAGAGTCCATTATAATGGACACAACACAAAAGCAATATTTTGAGTGTCTTACAAAAAAAAAATTATTCCAATCACTTCATAGGTTCATAAACACAGGCATATAATGAGATCTTGAGGAATATGAAATTCTGAAATTCATTATACTGCGTTATAATAAATACTCACCCTCCTTGTCGGGTACAATACAAAATGTTATCCATTTGATCACGTGCAGAATATTGTCGAGATAAAAATTCATGAAATAGAAGCGATAGCTGTTTGTTGTTGAACTACACTAATAGTTTTGGCGCATGAAACATTCAATGCCTGCATGATTGACGTCACAAAAAATTAGAGAAGGAGCGTCCATTATAAGACACATTATGCACTAATGGGTTAATTTATTCAAGACACTAACCTCCCTTAAACGAACACTTTGTACAAGTAGATATTGCGTTCAATTCAAATTGTCCGGCATAGCTTAGAATCTCTCAGATTGGTCTAAAATGCATCCAAACCGAAAGTAATGGTAATCAGAATTCTTCTATTGAAAATTCCGTCGCTAACTTCTTCTACCAATTGAAAGCCTGTATTTTGAATCCGTACTATAGCAACTAAACAAATTTCAAAAAATTTTTTGCTTCTTGCTTCATAGGTAATATGACATTCACATTCAACTTCAGATTATGTCAAATATTCTATAAGTAAGTTCCTTGTAAGAAAATATACAACCCACAATTTAATGAATATTGCACGTGAAATAGTTTTTGGGTATATTTCTGAACTAAAAAAGCTCAATCATGTTCTAATTATATGGCGGGGTGAGGTATGCCTTAAAATTACGTATACCTATATGAACACAGCTATAAGACTAACACAAAATAATGAACATTTAGTAAACGTCGTTGTTTTTTATTGCACTTAAGACTTTGAGAACCATACGTACAGTATCCCTATTAAATCCGGTTAATCCCGTTAATGATGACATTACATTATCATCTTCCAAGAATTGAATTTCGCAAAATCATCAATTACATCGTCGTATGTTGTCTTATTCATTGGTTTCAACTCTATGCACAGAAGAGCTAAGGCGTTTCACTTTTCTTGACTTAAGGTGGATTCATGCAACATCAACTAAATTATAATGAATTTAAGATTAAACGAATTTTAAATTAAAAATTTATGGGTGTTCATGCAATAACCTTTCATCAGCTGTTTATTCTTTTTCCAGCGCGGCTAGTTATCATTTGGCGCATGCGTAGTTGTGAATTATGGAAGAAATCAATTTCTTAGTTGAATGTTGGCCATCTTTCTTAGTTTTAATTTTAGTTTTAATTTTTTAGTTTCTTGCATGAGCACCTACATTACATTTCATAGTTTTATATTATTGGTTTAAGTTTAAAATTCATTTAAGTTTTAAATTTTGCTTGCATGAATCCACCTTAAAAGTCGATTGTAAATTAAGTGTTTCACCCACTTTAAGCAATATAATATTTTATCTACTCACTGCATCGAAAGTAAGCTTTTGCTCCCTCATTTAAGGACACAAACCTGTCGATTTACTCCCATGGGAGGAAAATAAATGTTACCTCCTCAATTGAAACTTTGAATAAAATGCAATTACACAATGAACAAATTCAATGTGACAGAATTGTCAAGTGTCGAATACTGTCCTTAGATCATGTAACACATTGATTTGGATCGAGACTCGAGAGAACGACCACTTGAAGCACAATCTCAAGAACGATGCTCCCAAATATATGCGTTGGATAAAATCATAAAATTTCCATGCGATCCGCACAATCACGCGGAGATCAATGATTTGAATTGTTTTAAAGTGTCGTACTTGATTTTTTTCTCGTATTTTGTTCAATTTTTGGGATGAAATGTCTCCTTAATTAGAAAAATTAAAAAAAATCTGATATCATGGGAATATTCCTCAGACTGTATCATATTAATGTGCTGAATATGTGCACTTATTTCAAATTTCAATTTCAATTGAAAATTTATGACCACAAAAATATATTTCACAGGGAGGGTTTAGCAATTTTTCATATAGATACAGATGATATATTGTTCAATTCTAGAATATTGAGATTTTCGTTGAACTTTCAAAACTCGTTTTCCCTATGTATATGTAAAGCAAATTTGCCGCACCCTAAAATCTGCCGACCTAGGTGCCAGTCTACTCAACCTGCTGTAAGAAAGCTACTATAAATAGGTTTCTATCATTCATCAGGATATCGAATCAATCCTAAGCTGGTTAAAATTACATCGCCCAGTATATTTCACAGTTACTCGAAATCGAAAGCCACACCGGAATAATAGTTTACAACCCTCTTGTAACGAGTAGGTATAAAGCACAGGTTTCTAATAGCCTCCATTTGACCATTATAACCGCAAATGAATTTGAATAGATTTACTTTTGATATGTTGCGACCAGAATACTTAGAGATTTACTTAACTATTGTCATATTAGAATAAGATGAATAAGGACATGATATCGATAGATATAGTTGTTGGATTTTTTACTATGCTTTTTTTCCAACAACCCGATGTCATTTTTGGATTGTATAACGGACAAGGCTAGCTCGGTCCATCTGAACGAGGTCCAAATAGTTTTCTTTCTTCAAACACATACTGTGAAGGGTCTGAGATGAGTTTAGTGCTTTTTGCCCATGCAAAGACAACCACATAATACGTTTAGTTTCTAGAAAGAATAATAAATTGTCAAGTAAATCTTGTTAGGTTTGAACATATGTTGAAGGTTATTTATGGTTTCCGTCGAATAGATACAAAATCGAGTTTCAAAATTTCTAAATATCACCCTAATGATGGAATACCATTACATGATTGGCCAGATACAATTTGGCGCTGAGTTTTCGCTTCCCTTATGTCACGTGATACACTAGCTATACAAAAGTAATGTTTGTCACAATTTTGTAGAAGTTCGTTTTTGAATTTTGTTCTGTGCAGTTGTGTCACGTGATATGCGGAACGCTGGTAAAGTAATCTGTTATATATTTGAAATCTACACGTTCATTATGAGTTGAAGAGTTATCAACTACTCGAGTTGATAAATCATTTATCATGGTTCTTTTCGATTAAAATTCAATTATCATTATTTCTCAACTAGTCTTTGGATGCCGTAAATATCAAGTCAGTTTTATGTCATTTAGTTAGGTCCAGATCCTATTTTCATTCACTTTCATTTATCTATTATCCATATGATAATATAAACATAGTTAATTCAGTTAGGAACCGAATAGTTTGATTTATGGACCTCCTCATTCCTAGCCCTTTCCCAGGTTTAATTGAGATTGAGAGTAAAGTTAACGTAATTAATTCATTGTTTCAAATAATAACTAAATACTTTTATTAAAGAGTATGCAAGCTCAGATATTTTACGAGTCTGATGCATATTGCATATACAGGGTGTCCGCTAAAAGGAGGTCAATCCATTAACCATATGTTCCTTGAACAAAAACAATTTGAGTTTCTAAATACCATTTTTAATTTTAGCCCTTCATATTCGATATACAGGGTATCAAAATTGGAGATTAAAAACTGTTTTTTTTCAATTACTAGCGTATTTAATAAGATATTAATCTCCAAATTGGTACATTACTTCAGCACAAAGAGTTACATCGTGTGAGGTAAACAAAACAGAAAATAACGGTCAAATATTCAAAATACTGGGGGTCAAGTACACACTTATCCTCATATTTGTTTGTACGTGCGCTAATGACTTCCTATCTATGTTTCTTCAAGTGTTCAATCATTTTTGAGTATTTTTTGTTTCTAGTAAAATTTCGATAAAACTATTTGTTTTTAAGATAATTCGAAAAGTACTGGTTATAGTTTGATGCCTATGCGGCTTACGGTAATCTCATTATGTTCACATACTCCTATTTATTTCGTCGAAATTGAAAGAGGGCGTATCTTTTTACGTACGAAAAGGTAAATATGGAAATACCGGGTGCTCAGAGCGAATGTATTAAACTAATTTTTCCAAAAAAAAAATTATAGGAATTCAACACATGATTTTGATAGCTACTTGATGAAAGAAATAGCAGATCAGGATTGTCTGGGGATACATGAAAGATTTTGTGTATAAGCCACATATTTTTCAAAAGCTAAGATGTTCTCTAATCAAAAGGGCTCGCACATGTATTCAAAAAATTGAGGGTCATATCGAGCAATTCATTCAGACGTGTTGAATTTTTATAAATTTTTCTTTTGTGAAAATTATTTCAATACAATCGCTCTGAGCACCCGGTATTTCCATATTAACCTTTTCGTACGTAAAAAAATACACCGTCTTCCAATTTCGACGAAGTAAATAGGAGTATGTGACCATTATGAGATTACCGTAAGCCGCATAGGCATCAAACAATAACCAGTACTTTTCGAATTATCTTAAAAACAAATAATTTTATCTACATTTCACAAGAAACAAAAAATACTCAAAAATGATTGAACACTTGAAGAAAAATAGATAGGAAGTCATTAGCGCACGTACAAAAAAAATATGGGGATAAGTGTGTACTTGACCCTCAGTATTTTGAATATTTGACAGTTATTTCCTGTTTTGCTCTCCTCACACGATGTAACTCTTTGTGCTGAAGTAATGTACCAATTTGGAGATTGATATCTCATTAAGTACGCGAGTAATTGAAAAAAATCAGTTCTTTATTTCCAACTCTGACACCTTGTATATCGAATATGAAGAGCTAAAATGAAAAATGGTATTTAGAAACTCGTTTTTGTTCAAGGAATATATGGTTAATGGATGATCTCCTTTTAGCGGACACCCTGTATATATGGATGTGTCACAAGCTGTTAGCTGGAACTTCAGATATAAAAGGTTAGTTGATTATGATATATTGTGAATGATTATGTGGCATTTCAATACGATTTATTCAAGAACCTACTTGCCGACCTGTCTCGCTCGGCAAGAAATACTTAGAATTATATCAAATGAGGTGGTTTTAAGACAGGTTAATAGATTAGTTATCAAGGTGGGTTGATTGCTTATCAGAGACCACCTCGTTTACACTGCTAGTAAATCCGCTACTGACTTGTGGTATTATAGGCGTTTTCGGAAACTTACTCTGGGTTGATAACTCGATCCAGATAGTGACAAAACACTCGGATCATCTACTCGTGTTCAACGTTTACGAACGTGTCAGGATAGGAACACTGAATATTATATTTTTCTGTGGTTTCATGAATTTGACAAACGAAAATGGTCACATTATATTTAAGTAACTATTTGATCTGATTACAAATATTTATATTTACCTGTGGATTGGTGTACTTGTCTCATATGTAATGTTGCACATAACCACAAACTTCACCCCTGCCCAAATTCTCTTCTCCATTAATTACTTTAATTAAATTATGAAGATTGAAAAGAACATGTATATCACCGGTCGTGATTTTCCCAACATGCAAATTATTTTATTATTATTGTTATCGTCGAATGTAAACTCCCGCGTTTTTTGATTGACTTAAATTTCGTAATGCGCATGCGGTGTCCTTTGCAACTCTGGCGACCCTGCTTTTGAGTAGGGTCACGAAAAATCAACTCGAGTCAGTGATCGAGTTAGCATCATTCAAGTTTCCGAACAGAGGTAGGTAACTCGGTTTGGGTAACCGAACGTTCAGGTTAGGGATCCGAACAACCCGAGTAAGTTTCCGAAAACGCCGTACGAGTGACCATCACCTTATACAGCTGTTCTCGGAGCTTTGGGGCTCCCCGTTGTGCACGACGCTGGTGAGCCTGAAGTAGTAGTTGGCGCTGCCTGACGTCTGCTCGTGCAGCTGCTGCGAATCGACGTCGTCCCAGTTCATGTCTTCGCTGGGATGGCCCAGCACGTCGTAGTTGTAGGAGTCCTCGCAGGGGTCCGTGGGCGAGGCCATGTGCTGGTCGGCGGGCGAATCGGAGTGGCTCGATATCCCCGCGAGGCATTCGCCTACGAAAGGCGTTATTTATTTTATTTATTCATTTTTTACACTGTTCAACAGGTTGCCCCATTTACAGAACAGGAAAAAAAGGACAAAACAAAAACATATGCATTGCATATTACATAAGCATAATGGATAGACCAAACAATCTGACAAAATAAAAATATCCTGACTATCTACTTATTCACTGATGAAGGAGAAAAAAGATAAAAAGTTTTGACATGAGTTAGTCCACAGCTGAACAGATCTAGGTTCCTAGCTACCAAGTTATGTGTACTACACATCTTATACAGAGATGGATTTTTATATATGTTGTTACGAGGAAACTCGAAGTAGAAAGTATCACAATTTCTGGAAGATAATCTCGGGATAATAAAGTTCAATTTTTCCAACAAATCTGCACAGTCAATTAGATTGTTAACAACCTTATAAAGGATGAGGATAGAGAAGTATTGTCTTCTTACGTACAGGCTTACAAATTGGAAAGTTTCAAGAAGCTCTTCATGAGGTGTACCAATTGGAGGGTATGTACCGCATGACCTGTAACTTAACAGTTTTAAAAACCGTCGTTGCAGACTTTCAAGACGATCAGTCTTGTTCCGATAGTATGGGCTCCAAACAACCGATGCATATTCAATCTTTGAACTTATAAAACAGTAGTACAATTCCTCAAGAGTATCTATCTCTTTAAAATCGCGACTGTTTCGAACTATGAACCCGTATGCTCGAAATGCGGATTTCAGGATTGAGTCAATATGATCATTAAACGATATAAATTGATCATTGATACAGGGTGGGTCAAATTTGGAAAGCAAATGAAAACTTAACTAATCAACATGTTGGAACGTGCCCATAACGGTTGTCTTGGAACGTGTCTGGGCGTTACCACCGATACAACAAGGCCAGCAGACTCTGACGTAAACAGCTCGTGACGTCACCAAGAGAGACCAGTGTTTTATTTTATCGCTTGTCGACTAACGCGTCAGTTCGTGTTAATTCATCGGTGATTCACGTATGTTTTTGAAACGGTCCCGAATTCTTTTGTTGTTTATTCATCAAAATAATTGGCGGAAAAATTACTGTTTTGTGAAATATTTTGTGTTGTGATCGGCGAAATAACAATGCCTTTCAAGTGTTGTGTTCCCTTTTGTCGGGGGAATTATGTGGGTGGTTCAAAAGTTCATGCTTTTAGTTTCCCGTTGGACGAGGAGCTATCGAAAATGTGGGTATATGCAATTCACCGCGAGGATTTTACTCCCTCTAAGTTCAGTAGTAAACAGAGCTTAATTTATAATGATGAATTAATAATAGAAGACAATTACTCCCTCATAAAAATTATAAGTAGAGGAAAAATAGAAAAGCTTCGATTGTGCAGTTAGTTTTGTATTCGTATATTATAGTCAACAAAATCTGAACCATACAGCCTTTTATCTACCCTCTCAAAATGTATCGAATCATCAATTCATTTGTATATTTAATTTTGGGTATATAATAAACGTATTTATTATTATTATAAAATCATCTCTGAATTCGAGTAAAATTTTCTTGAATGTTCATAATGAACGGGCATTTTTAATTCTCATTCTCAAATTTCTTTCTGAAAACGGTCATTTGCCTCGTGGCAATGAATGCAGAATTCATTCCAATGATCAAATTGCAACTATCATATTAACATGAACTACAAACACTCTACTCAAAAAGGTAAAACTGTATTTATCATGATATTTATCATGAAGATATTTGACTAAAAAGTTCCAAATTTCACCTTCTTTTTCACCTGTCGTCTGGATGGCATTAAGAACAAATTTCCCTTCTTTTTTCATCATATTGGACAATTTATATAATTATAATTCAACTATAAATATGATTTTCTTGAGATTAATCCATATTTAGTGAAAAGAAGGAAGAATATCATTCAAAATAATGGCGTGTCTAATGTAATTCGAAAGCAATCTATTTCCTGTTGAATTTTCTATATAAAAATGTGCCATCGAAGTACATCATGAGTATATAAAGTGTCCAATGACAAAATAAGAGCAAGTAGCTTCAAATGCCCCCAACACAAGGGGAGAAAGAAGGCGAAATTTCGAACTTTTTCTTGAAATATCTCAATAAATAGTGGTTTGTTCACATTTTCATTATAAAATTCGGTTTATCAGACAAAAATACGTGAGTACCGAAAAAAAATTTCAAAAAAAAACCATCGCATGATAAATGCAGTTTTACCCTTAAAAATTACGGTTTCAAGTGTAACGATCCACTTGGGTGAAAAATCCAACAACAGAAAATTGAAAACACTCACTGGTTATTTTTTCAGGTAATAGGAATTCTCCAAGATAAATATAGGTAATTGTAACAAACGGCATGTCAATCAAAATAAAATACATTTTCCACAATTTTCTTTCGATCAATCTCACGATAAGGTGTGAAGTTTACCTTCACCACAATTTTTGCCAATATATTCAATTCGAATGGGTTGCTGTAGGTGGATATTTGTGTTTTATCCTGGTTTTTGCTTTAAAACTTCGTTTTTCCATAATAAAATCGAATGGGGTGCGAAGAAGGGCTCAGTTGACGACCGGCATCCTTATTTAACCGGAAGCCCTTCAAAAAAAAGCAAAATCGGCTCAATGATGATCTAAAACTAAAATCGAAATACGCGGTAGCCTTATAGCGCTATAAGCGCTTGTCGTTTCGAGCCGCTGGTTAGGCCTCACTAAGTGACGTCACCCACGAAGCATGCAGGCCTTGTTGTATCGGTGGTAACGGTCTGGGACGATGTTGTTGAAACGTTCCATGAAACAGGATTTACATTATCTGGAACGATGCTGAAACTTCAGAGACTTAAGTGGAAAGGTTTGAGTTATCCGTAATTGAAACGTTTCTGTTCATTGTACCAGTATATCACCTGACGAAGCTACTGTGTTAGCGAAACATGTTGTGTGTTCAAGAATTTTGTGGAAATCTTATCGTTTGTGAAGTTTTTACAATTAACACTGGTATACGTCTTTTTTTATGCTGTTCCAATGAGGTATATGATTTCTCTACCAAGTGAACAAACAACAAGATACTTCATGTGACATTTTCAATTCATATTATACCTGGTGCTTCTCCGACTAACGTCCTATCGCTGTCGCTCAAACTGCTGTCTTCGCTATTGCTTTGGTCCCCAAATCCATCGCCTGTACCCGGCTGAGGCGACACCCTCAAACTGGGCGAGTTCGTGCATCTATCGCCGCTGCCCAGTTCCAGTTTATCCAAATTCTGGTTCAAATCCAAGGAGGGAATGGATTTGGACTCCAACGTAGCTGCGACACACAAAAGAATTAAACCAACGACTCGTGTGGAAATGCCTAATTTCTGACTGAACCAGAAGTAATTAATTTGCTCTATCTATCAAGACTTTTATAATTTCTTATGTTTTACACAGTGGCTCATGTTGATTTTTGGTAGCTATCATATTGTCGTGAATATGGTGCACTCAACAGTTCTTTTAAAAATGTATCACCCTGTTTGTATATACAGTGTGATTCAGGTTTTGAGGTACAAACTGGAATTATTTATTTATTTATTTATTGAAATCAAATTCTGGTATAAGGAAGTATAGTTAACAATAATACCGTAAACTATACAATTATAATAAACTCATAAATAATATAATATTTCAAAACATTTAGTATTAAATTTTGACAAATTATTTCATATTGGTGAGCAACAATCAATTTGAATTCGGATCAAAAGTTGAACAAAAAATCATCTATTTCATTCAGAAATGATAAATTTTTCAAGTTGGTATTTGAATTTTATTGTATTTCTGCAATTTTTTATATTATCTGGTAATTTGTTATATTCCAAAAGAGTAGCGTGGGTGAATCTTTTTTTGCCTATGTCTATAGAAGAATTAGCGATATCAAGATGAAATCAACCATGTTGTCTTGTTTGGTAATTATGAATTTCATTGTTTCATGTTAACATAAAATTGGATTTCAATCTTTTATTTATGATATTGTATGTAATTTTCAGTCTTTCAATTTTGAACATTTCTTCTAATGAGAATGATTCAGTTATTTTATATAATTGATTTCTTGGTGTATCATATGGTAAACGATACAGTACTTTCAATGTCTTTTTATATAATGCAGATATTTTATTAAAATTGTTTTTTGAACAGTATTCCCAAACATTTATCAAATAGTTAATACGACTGAGTATATGAGAATATAGAATTATATTTGCAACTTTTTTATCTAGCTTGGGACATCTTCTCAGGGCTCCAATATTAGGAGATATTTTTTTCGTCAAAACATTTGAATGAAAAGGGCGATAGATCTCATCATATTAATTAAAAAAGTAAATATTAAAATGAGTCCGATCTCGATCAGTAGCGGATCTACAGGGGGTCAAAGTTCAATTATTTTTTTCTATCAATTGAAATATCTCGCTCACCTTTGAAGAAATCAATTTGAAATTATGTGTGGTTAATACTTTCTAGGAATTAATCATTTTAAGCATTTTAGAGATTATTTGAATCTACAGGGTGATACGTTTTAGAAGGTACAGGCTTCTTTATCCCCCTAAACTTTTTCGTAGTACACAGTATATTGTTTTCAGAACATGCTCCCCATATATTAATTAAATATATGATTCTACTGAGAATATGTGAATATAAAAATATATTACCTATATCTGTATCGGGCAGCACCACATTCAAACTGATGGTGTAACGGAAGTATTCGATCACCTTCTTCAACTTGGAAATCGCGAAGTTTTTTTCCGGGTCTTCGTCCATACCGTTCGACGCGTAAAGCTTGTACACGCTACAGTTGGCGTCGAATTTCACCAGAGCGTCGTCGTTGTCCAAATATTTCGGTTCGTTGCTGTATATCTCCATCACAATCTTGACTGTAGTAGGATCCATGTGTAAAAGATGGCCTATTTTCATTTTCAAATCGCTGATCCTATCGTCGACATCTACACGCACCAGTTTCGGTTCGTCGATTTCTTCTGCTTCTATGTTGATTGGGTATACTTTCATGTTGATGCCCTCCGCTTTGTATTTGGTCCATTCCGTTCCTGAATTGATTGATTGATGTACGACATGAACAGAAGTGTATTTATAGAAGGAGAACCAGCGAAGAGACATTATACAAGAAGGTGCAAGCAAAAAAGAGCGCGAAACTTGCATGCTACAGAATTCTGTAGAAAAAAAGTTCATAACAAGCGAGCGAAACGTGATGAAACCTCTCGCCGCGAGATGCGTAGCATTCCACATTTCATGTCAACTCAAGTAAATGCCACGTTGTCAAGATACCCCGAATGAAAGTCTTTGGTGTAATTCGCAAGAATTCGCTGTTGAAATAATATTGTCATTTGATTAGGAAAATTATTGATGGATCAAACAAACTGCCTTGACAATGTTTCTGGGTTACAGTTGGGTTGATTAACCTCTTTAAAATTACATGAATATTATAAACTTGAAAACAGTTCGCTCAAAACTGAATTGCCTTTTACAGGAAACCTGATTCCTCTATCAATTAAAGATTTGTATCCAGAAGCTTTTTAATTGAAATATAAGCATAAAAATGCCTCACTGTTTCAAGTCTCCGAATCTTAAAAAAATCCCTCCAGTGAGGTATGATTTTTTTTTCGCGAATCATAATCTGATTGTCGGTGTATAAGTTTCGAAAAAAACATTTTGCTTTGACAACTTTCACATTTTTTTAAATTTGATATGCTGAAATTCAAAAAACGGTGCAGCAACGTTTGTGCTGTGAATGGGTGTTTCAACATCTACCAGAGTTATCCCATCGCTATACCTTTGTTCAGATTCCCCAAAGATATTGACAGGTAGGTATGTAGGTAATACTGTCTGTAGGTTAATCGAGGAGGTGGTACATTCATTTTACTTGATTCTTTGGGATTTTCTCTCCTCGTTTCTATAAAATAAAACTATTCCTATTATTTCAATATATTTGTAGAGGGACAAATCAGATGATTTGCCCCAAAATGTCACTGCGTTTAACAAATTTTTCTATCAGGGAGAATAAAAGAAAAATCCAGTAGCTTGTCAGTGACAATTTGTTTGAAAAAATGTTTGAAGGAAAGAAATATAGATATATCGAACGGGAGCAGAGTCGGTCCCGAAACGTCCAAAGATAAGTAAAAATTCGACACCATTTTCAGATTTCAAAATAATGTAATATCTTCTCGATATTGATTCGTCCTTTCTTCTGTCACAGAAAAAAATAGTGTATCATACACGGGAAAAATATTAGATTTTAGCTCACGGTTTTTTGTCTCCCTCCACTACGCGTCGGGAAACAACACAACCTGGGGCTAAAATCTACTACTTTTTCCCCTCATATAATAAATAACTATTATGGTAGATTTAACTGTAATAAAGAGCACTGTGCTAATAAAGTTTGTTTGATATATTAGTGAACCAGAACAGCCTCCAGCCTCCACAATTTAATTGCGAAAAATAATCATCAAAAAACACCAATCTCAACATATCACGTGATGGGAATGTTTCGAAAAAAATCTTGATCGATCCCTACCTGGTTCTCGTATCTCCAGCATCCACAACGTTAACACATTCACGCCGCCCATCTTGTGAATGATGTCAGAGAAGCGCAGCTCGTCCGAATCGAAGCTGCGGTCGATGCACTCGTGCTGGCTGTTGTAGGTCACCATGCGGCAGTCGGCGAGACCGACCGACGACGCGTCGAGGTTGAAGCGTCGGTGGGCGTCTTGGGCCGTCTCGGCGAGCGTCGCGTCATTGAACACGGGTATCTTGGCGTCTTGCAGCTTGTGGGTCTGCGGGTGCCAGCAATAGACGACCATGTTCATCGTGTCGTTCTGCAAGGAACACGACAATAGGTGAGTGGACTCATTTTTTTAATTTCTTAAATAAACTGCTGATCAATCAAACAGCATCAAGCACATTTTTGCTTCAAATTCAACATTGAATATTTTCGCGAAAATTCTACTTTTTCGGATGCGGTTTTCTTCATTCTGAAGATTGATCCATTGGGTATATGACAGATAGATCGCATGTTTTAATAATTCTCAAGCATATTCCTAGAAATGGTTACGCAATTTCTTCCTTATCTCTCAAGATATTCGAGAAAAAGAATTTTTTTAGAAAAATGAGATAATTTGTACTACTGACCAGAAATCTTCTTATTTGTAGTTCAAATATCACAGATTTCCTCTCGAATGAGCTATTGTGACCTTTATTGTGTTAGCTTGGTAGACGGTTATTAGAATAAAACACTAGGGGTTACTCCACGATTTCCACTATATTCACAATAGGTATCAGATACAACCTAGCCTTATCACGGCTACTTCTTAACTACTGAATATTACTCATACATCGATAAATTCTACCCAAAATACCCGTCACCTTTTACATAACCCCGTGTGTCATCAATAGATCGACACTCATTAATCTAGAAGCACGATACAAGGCGTGTATATGTACGTAGCTCCTCGATACGATACTCTCTTACAATTGTTTGATATCTTATATTTTTTTATATACAATTTTTTATATACAGAGTGTTTGGCAACAATATTTGAAAGATATTATTACAGGCAGACCGAGCACAAGCAGAAAAACGGGAGAAAGAATATACAGGGTGATATGCCAAGATTGATGGAAGTTTTGTACGATGAAAGTTTGAGAGTTTGAAAATGTATGTGATATATCAATGAATTCTTACTCATCTCTCTTACTCATACTCATCATTGGAATGTTGCTCAGTGAAGAATATACGAGGTGATTCACAATAACCTGCTTATTCCGCTGAATAGAAATTTTGAAGAAGTTGTCTTTGTCTACTCAAAAAGTGAAACAAGGCAGGAACTGAGATGTATTAATTGAAAACGAAGAAACAATAAGCACTGAAATGAAAAAAAAACCTTTTTTAGTATTTGGTAGGTCCCCCTTGCACCCCTAACACTTCTTCACATCTTCGCGGCATACTTTCTATCAAACTCCAAAGGAATTCATGTGGAATGCGCTCCCATTCCTCTTCAGTGGCAGTTATCTGTTGATTGATGAATTCGATCGGATTCGATCTCGATCGTATTTGTAACTTCAAACTTGACCACACATGTTCAATCGGATTACAATCGGGTGGCTTGGGTGGCCATTACATACGATTTATGTTGAGTCTTTGCAATAACTGGTTGATGGTTCGTGCTCGATGTGGCCTCACATTGTCATCAACAAGGACAAAATCATCACCAACGTTTTCGGCAAATGGCACTATGACAGGCAGAATGCATCTGTCTCTGTACACTTCTGCTGTAACCGTGCCATTTATGATCACTATCTCGGATTGTCCTGTAAGTGGGTTACGCCCCTCCAAATCGAAACTCCTCCGCCACCAAATTCTTCTTAGGGGCTCATATTTCCTTCCCTGTATCGTCCATTAGATCTTCGCCAAACTAATAACCGACCATCAGAATGGTACAGCTTTATTCTGGATACAGCAACATTCCAATGATGAGTAAGAGTTAGAGAGATGAGTAGGAATTCATCGATATATCACATACATTTTTCAACTCTCAAAATTTCATTGCATAAAACTTTCATCAATATTGGTATACCACCCTGTATATTCTTTCTCCAGGTTTTCTTTATGCAACTTCAAGGAAAACTGCTGTCATTCAATCTCGAACACTAAATAAGTTGATCAATGTGTTGTGCTCGGTCTTCCTGTAATAATATCTATCAAATATTGTTGCCAAACACTCTGTATATAAACAACATGAGTCATATGTCATACAATAGAGGTCACAATACCTCATCCAAGAGGAAATCTGTGATATTTGAGCTACAAATAAGAATATTTCTGGTCAGTAGAACAAATTAAAAATCTATTTCTCGAAAATTTTGAGATAAGAAAAAAATTGCGAAACCACTTCGAGGAATATTCTTGAGAATTAATGAAACATGCTTGAAAAAAATCTCAAAAATTTTACATCCAATTGGGAGCATGGAGAATTATTCAATATTTTGCAGAGGTTTGTTTGTCACCCTGTATAGCCAGAGGTAACTATGTATTAACATCAGCGATCTATCTGTCATATACTCAATGGATCAATCTTCAGAATAAAGAAAACCGCATCCGAATAAGTGGAATTTTCGCGAAAATATTCAAAGTTGAATTTAGAGCAAAATTGTGCTTGATGTGGTTCGATTGATCAGCAGTTTAGAATCATCACTCAAATACTTTTCGATTTCATATTTTTTAGGAATGTTTTGTTCGATTTTCAGGTGCTAAAATCATCAATAATGCCAGGGTAATTTTCAAACGGCTAGAAATTTACCACCAGTGAAAACTGACGCCACGATAGCGTAAGTAGGGCAGACCTATAGCATAGTTGACATGTGTTGAAATACGATTGGGAATTTTAGAAATATTAGTTATTCAAACATTCGTAAATTTGATAATTCATTAAGTCTCAATTGTCTCAAAATGTTCCCATATGATTTGTGGCTTATTGATTGTAATAAAACTGTGTATATAATAATTATAATAATTCACATTAGAGGACATTTGAATCGGTGAACGTGACAACCACGGCGTACGACTTGTGGACGTGGTCTTGTCAGTTCTCGAACTCTAACCATCTTTTTGATAACTTGATAATAATTGGTGACTTGACAACCTTACTTCATGAGTGGAAATGGAGTTTATCTGACCAATAACGACTTATCGCCAAATAGCGGCAATGAAGGTTCGTTTGGAATAAGCTCTGAAATTCAATAATTTCGAACATGCGCGTGAAGGGTTGCAAAAATTAATTTAGAGTAATTGAATGCCAATAATTCATTATCAGTCCACTTGCCCATTGGATGAATGAATAAATGTATTTCAGAGGCGGCTCCTCAGAGAACGGAGGCTGAGCCTCTTCAAGAATGTCCATACATTGAATAGTTCAGTATACTTGTATTGAATATATTATACCGGAATAGCTAACTTACGTTCGTATTATCGGTTTTATTTCATATCAAGTTGAATTTGAGAATTTGGCAGCAATGCTCTTACACTTGAGAGTATTCAGAATAGAATACAAATTCGCAACTTCCAACAGAAAGCCAGCCTCAGTACACGTGTGACTGAGTATATGGTATTTGCACTAATGTGCTTTCGTTTTGCCCAGACTTGACGGCAATAAACAGTTGAAAATCGCATTATAAGATTTTTGTAACATCTTATGTTGATAGATGTGACTGTACGAATTCTCTTTGAAATGGAACTCAGAAATCAATTATCTGAACTTCATTAGACACTATCAGAAATGAACCTTCTAACATGATTTCTGTATTTTTTATCGTAAGTATAAGTGATTGTTGTTATTTGGTCCGAAGACCATTAAAAATATGAAGATATCAGCGCCTCTTATGGATTATCTATGAACAAGAACTTTATAAGTATCGTCAGTTTTTTTCGTAGAATTTCACATTCACACTTCCCATTTAGCTTCTCCTGTTGAAAGGCACACGAGCCGTCACTGCTGCATTTATTTATAACGTTCCAAAAATTTGATGTCACAGTATATTTCAGATTTTCAGATTAGAATAAAATAGATGGGACAGTTAGCAGAGCCTGCTTCACACTGGACAGACATGGACAATCCACTATAATCCTTACAAACCAAAGGTCGTGGGAGTAAAAAAATATCATGAAACATAATTGATTGAAATCTTTGTGCAAAGCATCAGTTAAAGGGTCAGGTTATTGCAAAGGGCCCTGTGCCCTTATGAGAGCGCACATAATTAGTAATTTAATGGCAAAACTCATTATTGGAAAATATCGAAAAACGGTGGTCAAAAAATACTTGAAACGGCTAAGCTACCAACCAACCTTCTATCCAACTATTTAGTAATATTAAGTGATTTTTGTTAGTATGAACTAGTTTGTCCCTTGTTTTAGTGGCGCTAAGGCAAAAAACGAACTTGGTATCGTTTGTTCAAGCCCGTCTGTTTGATCTTGTAGTCATTTGTGATTTATGATAGCTCTTAGTTACAGCATGTTTGAATATTGCATTTATATAAAGCGTTGTTGTGCACCGACTTACTGCCAGGTAAAGTAGTTACTCTTTATATTTTATCACGTATTTGAAAGGTGCCTTATGTACATACATCTTCCAGATTTCATAAACCACATTACATAACCACGTTGGTGGGCGATTGGCAAATAAAACCACATAGTTTCCATAAACGATGCATTTCGCGACCTGAAACTCCTGAATCAATTCAAGAAATTATATTCAACAGTCTCTAGAAGAAACAACATTATATTATGTATTATGTATATGATTTAAAAATGATTATCTGATTATCTAATTTTTGTTTTTTTAGTTGCTCTTTCATAATTTTCCCTGCTATAAACATATATGTTTCTTGGGAATAATAAAGATAATAAATTATGACTCACCTGCTTCTCTCTGTTTATCCTGTCCTCTTCTTCTTTCTTTCGCATATCCTCGAGGAGCTTCTGAATGTGCGGGGGAAAGTCTTCGACCCCAATTACCCTGCGATTCCGATTTTTGTCTATTTGCCGATACATCAGCATGTAGGCGTTGGTGCTGGAGCTGTAAGCTCCAGAATAATAACCGCGAGGTGTTCCTCCGCCGTAGGTCTTCCTAATGTCATCATCAGAAATCTAAGAAAAAAATTGAATGATTATTTATTATGAAAGAGAGAAAAGGTATTAGATTCATGCTCGAGATTGTGCTGTCTCCCGACGAGGAGCCAGAAATTCTATTCAAAAGGGAGCAGTTGCTATCAGCAACAAGGTGAACTACTTGTTGTTGAGTAGCGATGGGTAGAGATCCGTAATGCAGAATATATTAAAAATTTTTAGATGTTTTTATACAAGAAGGAAAGTTGCATCACGGCCGGGTTAAAATATTTTTATTACTTAAATGTCAGAATATTAAAGTTAGTGATTTTTCTATTTCAGAAAGAAGGATATTTCTTTATAGTTCAGCATTTTGCAGATAGATGGACAAAAAAGCAGATTCCGACAAATAGAAAGGCGGGTCACATTTTGCTGAGTTTCGCTAGAATATTTCAAAGAATTGTGCACTTTTTGAAACAAGCAACAAATTTGGTACAGAGGTAGACCGATATATTGTTTATTGACAAAATAGCTTCCAGTCAGAAATAAAATTCTAGGATGAGGAAGTTGATCACAAACAATAATAATAAAATGAAGGTGACAAAAAAATCTGAAAATGCTGAATCATAAAAAATAGCAACAGGGACTAATCAATATCAATTTTATCCATCTCGTGATAAAATCATGTGTTTTCTTAACGCAATTTCAAATTTTGAGATATGTCTGCAATTTTTTATATTATGTGCAAATTTATTGAAATCAGCTAGAGCAGCGTGAGTAAATTTTTTTGGCCAATAATACTTTAGGAGAATGTATTTTATACAATTCATCAAATGAGAGACAATTCAATACTTTCAGATATATATTTTACTGAACAAGATCTCCAAACGTTTATCATATAGGTAATACGACTCAGTATATGAGAATGAAGTACTATGTTTATGATTTTTTCATCAAGTTTAGGGCATCTTGGCCATTTTGGAAAATGGCCACCGCGGCCGCCAAGGGGCAGTTGGCCGATAGCTCCACATCCAAATCTGTTTATATTGAATTGCTCTACCTATGCCAAACTTGGATCTTTTATCAAAAAGTGCACAATAGTTTTGCTGGAGTACAAGACTTTTATTTAGTACCTGGTTTACAAAATCGATGGGGTATATCCTGAGCAGGGTATAGATAACTCTATATTATTGAATCGATTTTCACTTCTCTCGGTGGAAGACCGAAGAAATTATTACTCGTGCGTATTCATTTAGATATATTATATTATACACATTATCTTGTCGACTGCCCAGATCTCCTGTCTCAGCTCAATTTTCTTGTACCTCGTATGAGCAACAGACACGAATTATGTTTTTATCTTAGAACACCAAGAACAAACACTCTGGTAAAATCTCGTGTTTATACAATGTGTAGCAATTTCCACAATGTCTGCGACAAAATCGATCCTTCATTCAACAAAATTAGGCTGTTTTAAAAATTACCTAAGAAATATATCCTTCAGTGATCAAACACAAAAGTTTTGTGTAAAATGTACCAAAAGGAATTTATGAATATGAAATGTATTTGTCTTGCATGTCCTGTAATTGGGTGCCTCACCTGTTTGGACAATAAACGATTTTTTTTAAAATTTTATATGAAAATTATAGATACAATAATGACCGAGTGAACTGAGCAGGCGTGATTTTTCAGAGCCGTGTAGAATAAACAGAGTATTGGTAATTTAATATCAACTAGGATATTTCTTACCCTGCGCAGTTCATTGAGGCTTAACGACTAGCCACTATGTGTTTTTGATCTTATTTTCACATTTTTGTACTCTTTTATTCATCCATGTTGAATGAAAATCGCAAAATTATAATTTTCAGATCACATTATCCCCGAAATGTACTCACCGAGCTGACACTTTGATCATTGAAGCAGAACCACAAATTTTTCTCGAAATCTTTTATGTATGCATAATAATGGCCGCCCGACGCGCTTCCAGAATGGATCATAATACTGAATAGCTCGTAGACGTATGGACCTTTAGCTTCTTCTTCATGATTGTTTCCAGAGCTGACATCAATACCTAGAGCAAAAATGAAAAAGAGAATAAGTTTCCCGTATATAAGTTGACTATGAGTGCTGTGCACTAGAGATATCAATATTATTGCTTTTCATTAATGATATCAGTCAAAATATCTTCTTTTTTTGTAGATATATTGAAAATATAACGGGCCGAGTATTCTGGTATTATGACTATCGTCTAATTTCGATGTGATGTGCGATGTGCCTATTTTCATCAAGTCACAGCCATTGAGAGGCCTATGATTTAAGTGTACTTGAAAAATGATCATCTTTGTCTATCAATCTCGTTATTCAAAATTAGCAAGAAGAATTCCAAACTGCTAGTCTCTTTTCCATGTAGGCCTTCCCAAAAAAAATCCATGGTAAAGTGGGCTATACATTTGGCAAGAATAAGTACTAACAGAATTTCAGTTTATCAAAGATTAGTTTTTCAGTGTCACGCAGATCCACTCGTAGGTGTACCGTTTATACGGAATTTGCTAACTTTTATTGTTATAAAATAAATAATAATCTATAGTTCTTTAAATTTCACTCTGATTCGCTACTTTTATCAAAACTAACGATTCAACATCTGTCAGTGTATTTCACACCGTCTATAGCCTCGGTGGAGATATCCTACACCGGTGTAATTACACTGTTACAAAGGAACGACAAGGTGTAATGGAAAAAGCAACACACTGAAGAAAAGGAACGCTATTTTGGAAAAAGTGTAGTTCAGTGTCACACTTTCATAGGAAAGGAACAGGCCTAATAATTCATTATCAATCCACTCGCTCATTTCCAAACCTTCATCGCTGTCTGCACAGTTATCGTCCTGGCCATTGACCGTCGACGAGACATCTGTTCCTTGACAACTCTCGTCATCAGCCGACCCGGAATCCGTGGTGCTGCAATCGTCGTATTTGATGACGTTCTCCTTCTCATCCATCGGTTCGTTGTCGCGCCGTACGGTGGTGGTGAACGAATTCAAGTTGAGGATTTCAGGAAACACGACCCTAACGAAAATCTGTCCTATGTATTCGATAAAAAAATATGATGAGGGGTGAATTTTTCGATATCCCTTGATATTTACAACTCTTTGAAAGGAAAGGAAATTCATGTACGCTACTCGCTATAAAGATAACGCATGTTTTGTGTGTTTCGAGTTCACTTGGACTGTATTCCACCAGCCGTACTTCTGTCACAGTTCACTTAATGCGCTCTTTATGAAAATAACTCCACATTTCAAGTGAGACAAGCATGAACCATCATAGCTTCGGTTAACTCATCTAAGTGTCGACTTATTCTAAGAGAATGAGTGTCAACATTATTTATTGTCCACCAGATCGCACTACTGAAACGTGAGTTCAGAGTTTCTAGAACTGATAAATATACTCCTTCTTTTCCTGTCATTTGGCCTCTTCCTACGATATCTTCTATTCGCGAAAATCACGAACCAACAAATGGCGCTAACAAACGTGAAATCAACGTCAAATTTCAAACTGAGTATGAACAACAAAAACATTGCAGTATGTACCCATTGCAAATTGGTTATTTCGAAATCCTTTTGAAAAATAGTTAGTAATAAGTTGACTTATTGAAATCTTCATGATTGACGTACAAGGTTTCCAGTATGGAAAAAAAAATTGTGCAGAGAAATTGCCAATTTTATGTGGACAATGGTGGTATTCATAATTGATGTGACATTACAATTCCACTGTTTTCTAACAAATGGAATGGTCGGAATAGTCCACTCAACACTTGCATGGATTGGAATGGAACCATAAGGAATCAGCTATTACAACAATATGGTATAGGTATGAAGAAATAATTGAATTCATCAAAAAATATAACTGGCTGTTATGAAGGAGATGGAATTCTAGTGAAGGGGTTGGAAAAGAAAATATGGTTGGAGTGACTGCTAAGGATGAACAATATCATTGATTTACATTAACAAGGATCCCCAGCAATTGGGGACTTGAAGTTATTTTCAAGATCGAATCATTCCAACCAACATTTATATAATAATTCTAGTTGTGCTTTAGAAAATGTATATTATTCAAGGTAGGTACTGGTTTTTTCATGATAAACAATAAAAGCTCATGCAATGATTCGAGTTTTTTCATTAGGGAAAAATGAGGTTCTGGAATATGCACCCTAATGAATACATAATTTTCAAATAAAACACATAGTTATGGAAGGAAATACCGATTTTCCTTTATTTTCACAGTTACAACCAAATACAGCATAACAACAACAACAACAAGAAATACCTTCATGGATTATATTTTGATCACACAGTAATTCACTCATCAGTTAACGATTTTTTTATCAAAATGGGGCAACAACAAAACATACTCATACATTTTGGACACATTATTGTGCCATTGTCATTTGATATTTGGGAAAAATATCTTGCACCATTTTCATTCACATAAACTAGTAGAAGTTTTCCTTCTTGTCCAATATCTATGTACAGTTCTTTCATTTTAGGCAATTGATTTTCTGTTTGCTGTTGTTCTTGATGTTATTGTGACGGCTAGAAAACTTCATCTCCATCATTAAATTACACACATCACCCATCGCTCTCGAATATCTCTACCTGTGCTTCAGTATAATATATCGTCTCCAGTTCCATATCATCCGAGATATCATCATTATTTGTAATAGGTCCAGAATACTTTTCTCTATCATCACTTTTTTTTTATCTACTTCAGTTATTGCATTACATTCTCTTCTTCATCGATACATTTTATACAAATAATACATAAAATATAATTGATTGATTGATTCCATGTTCTCTATTATTTCACTATTATTTGGAACTAACTAATGTAATTCTCTGGTAGTAGTCCATGCTCAAATTGGAGGTGATGAGATAATTAAGAGAACAAACTCAAAGTCTCGCTCCAAGTAAATTATAATCAAATCATATATGCTACATGTTTCGACTCCTAGGAGTCATCATCAGGCTAAAATACAACACTTATAAATAAAAGAAGTTCCATCACTATTGGAAAATGGGTGACATACCTTGCTAGGTAGGAGGAGAAAAGAAACTATAAAATTGACAACATAGTTCATAAGGGTTTTGAGCCCAAAATAATTTTAAGAAACATTTTTGAATTTTGGTTTTTTGAACCCCCAAATAAACATTTTTCCTAAGATGCTTCTTTTTGGATCAAATAAACATAGTGTACAGCAAATGGCGCGGTTATGAAGTGAACAAACCGACAGACTACTTGATTTGAAAGATAAAAATTATTTTTCGACAAACAAGTGACAAATGTCATCTATCAAAAACCACAAAACATTGAAGTTGACTTAATGGACCATACATCAAAGTTCATAACAAACAAGGAAATGTGTCTAGATTGACTGAGTCGGGTATTTAAAATTGTGTTTTTTGAATTAGGAATAACAACGTTAACTGGCATTGTCAATCCCTTTGTTTAACGTTGTTATTCCTAATTCAAAAAACACAATTTTAAATACCCGACTCAGTCAATCTAGACACATTTCCTTGTTTGTTATGAACTTTGATGTATGGTCCATTAAGTCAACTTCAATGTTTTGTGTTTTTGATAGATGACATTTGTCACTTGTTTGTCGAAAAATAATTTTTATCTACCATTTTTATCTTTCAAATCAAGTAGTCTGTCGGTTTGTTCACTTCATAACCGCGCCATTTGCTGTACACTATGTTTATTTGATCCAAAAAGAAGCATCTTAGGAAAAATGTTTATTTGGGGGTTCAAAAAACCAAAATTCAAAAATGTTTCTTAAAATTATTTTGGGCTCAAAACCCTTATGAACTATGTTGTCAATTTTATAGTTTCTTTTCTCCTCCTACCTAGCAAGGTATGTCACCCATTTTCCAATAGTGATGGTACTTCTTTTATTTATAAGTGTTGTATTTTAGCCTGATGATGACTCCTAGGAGTCGAAACATGTAGCATATATGATTTGATTATAATTTACTTGGAGCGAGACTTTGAGTTTGTTCTCTTAATTAATGTAATTCTCATTTTATTGGCAATTCCATTTCTATTTGTGGACCTTCAAATTCAATTATTTATGAAAACTATAGGAGAAGAATCTCAATTATTATTATAATGTAGGTACTCACTTTACTGATGATTCTGAAGTTTTTTCACAAGTTTTGGTGGTTGAACAAAACTTCCTGGATTTCATATTAACTATTTTGTGAACTTGCTGCATGTTTCGAAAAAATAAAAGCAATTACCAGTACTCAGACACAAAGTAAACTTCGGAGAAAGAAATAATCAAAATTCACTCAAAAAAAAGGTCGCCATATTTGTTGTCAATGTTGTTCATACTTGCAAGACTTGTAGAGTTAGCCACCAGAGGCCGCACATTTCGTGATTCTCGCGAATTCCTTCAATGTAAGAATTTTTCGTAAAGTTGCAGATTGAGAGTAAATAACGTACGTCTGCTCAAGTATTCCCGAATATTTTCGATAAAACAGGCCACAGCCTTTAGGGCTATCCGGTAAATTTTTGTGGAATTTTCGAATTTGACATTGACCTCACGTTTAAGTAACGCTAACCAGTGAGACTGAAAATGGAATATCAATCTTAGTCCAACACAGGGTGATTCATTAAGAATGGGTAATCTCTGAACTATAGTAAAGGCCAAAATATGGAGAATGTTACTGTTTAGGAGATACAGGATGTCCAAGGGGAAGATTTTATTCTAAAATTCTCAATAACTTTGTAAGTTTTCGCAGCACGCAACTCTTTGAAAGGAAATGGATCATTTCGAGGTTTGGAGAAGATGCATCAAAACGCTGGACTGAATTCCACTTGCAGTGTTTCTCTCACTTTATGTGCTCATAACGAACAAAGTCAACCAATTTTCGATTTATTGTAGGAGAACTGGGGAAGATCAGTTTTAGTTTGATGTGTTTTCCACTATTTTGAAATTGTGATCCAAAGAGTGATATGTGAAAATATGAAAATTTTAACTCCGCATCATCAAGGTGGGGTTCCTAAAACACTTCACTCTGTATGGATTCAGAATTCAGTCAACTTCTGAGATGATGACAACACAGTGAAGAGCTCTGGGGTTTGAGAAATCTCACCTGTTATAAATATATATATTTCATTCTAAGAGATGAGTGTTAATTTTGTTATGAATAGTGATCATTTATTGTTTTTTCCATATGCTATATGCTACATTTTCAACTAATAACTTGAACATTAGCATTATTAGTTTTCCATAACTGAGTATCCTTTCAACAGTTTTTATACATATAATTTTTTCCCGTGAGAATCCCACCATTTATAATATGGAGTGAATACATATGAGAATATACTTGAAACCTCATGTAGAATTCTGAGAATATATCTTTATATCTCTTTTTTTCTCGTGCATTTCAGATCGAGGTTGCCCCATTGCCTGGAACTTTTCTGAGGACTAGATGTGATTTGTTTTCATGAAATGGTTTTGGATTCAGTACAATCTATACTGGATGTTTTGATATATGTAAATTCTTACGATATATTGCATTCTGGTATGTTCAATTACCAAAAACTCGAATTCAACAGAATTCCATTGATATAACTTGAGAGTGCACTTAAGTGTCTATATTTTGACTTCAAACTTCAAAAATATGCCCATGAAATTCTTGTAGCAAATTATAAAACACCCTGTTTTATCAGTGACGAGGTCAGTACTTTTGGCAAGGTTGTTGTCGAGAGAGATGAAACAAGCGAAGCAACAAAATAAAGAAGCACCGGCAGGTTTTTAGAATTGACAAACTGGATATGAAAGTGTACTCAGACCATCTTTGTGGAATCAAAGAGAACATTCACCAGAATCAAAGAATAATCAGTTTGTGCAATATAAACGGTCCAATGAAGTAGCAGCTTCAACAAAAACAAGTCCTAACCTGACATTTTGTGCATAAAGTGAAAGCTGGTCTGCAGATATAATAATAATAATAATAATAATAATAATAATAATACATTTATTATTTACCATAGATACATGTTACATGAAGAACATTTGGTGGTCTATATGCTACTCCAAAAGCATGTTTGTGATTGTTTAACTTGATCTCTATCCATAATTGTTCCAAATGATCAGATGATTCATTCAAGATTATGTTAGCATTTAAATTATTTCTTACATAGATACCGATTCCGCCTCCCCTTCTCACTAAACGATCAAATCTAAAGAAATTATAGCCCTGTATTGCAATTACATTGTTCGGTATTCCCGGATGTAACCATGTCTCGGTGATACCTATCATATCAAAATTCTCAGCATCAATGTGTGAGTGTAGACCATTCAGATGTGGAACTAGAGAGCGAACATTAACATGGGCAAAAGTGAAGTTCATTCTATAATATTTTTAGGTATATTGTGGAAAATGTCTATATAAGAATGAGTAGCAGAAAAGAAGAGAAACATAATTGAAATCAAGTAGAAAAATGAACATGGATGACTGGTAACAACTAATCAGAGTTTTTTGATTTAGATGAACTGTTTTGTCGTGTTCTTCTCTCGGTTTCAGGAATTATATTTTGTATATCAGGCCTCACATATTTATTTGATGCATCTCTCAAGAGACATTCAATACTATTTGGCATTGCAAATCACAATCATCTTCACCTCATGTGTTATTTTATATCATCAATTTATTTCCAATAATTTTATATTCTGTACTTTTCAACTTATGAAACAAGATCCATCTAGCTATACATGAACAAGTCTATTAATTTTCTACTCACTTGTCATTGAGCTTGATCCTGTGCATGGTGTTATAATCAAAATCGAACCGTTTCAAATGCAACGTCAACAGGTACGGAAACTTCGTGAACTTGAGCCCCTTGTGAGCGTCGCATTTCTTGTTGCACTTTTCGCAATTGTACTGGTTGTTCCCTTCGAGGGTCTCCGGCTGCACGAACGCCCTAAGGGCCTCCTCCACACTGTTGTAAGCGACTGCGCTGCCAAAAGGCCGCACCGGCAAAGGGATGTCCAAGAAGGTGTCCTCTCTCGACTTCTCCGTGCCGCACTCCAAACACTTGACATAGTCCAACATTTTGCCCTCGTACAAGTCGTTGATGAGGTTCGCCTGCTTGGTGTCCTTGAATCAACGAGATTAGTCCATGAAAGTTCGAGAAATATAGGGCCAAAGCTCAGAATATCAATAAACATTATTATAAACGAATTCCTTCCCCTCGTGATAGCCGAAATACTTAATTTGTTTATAAACATGCATGAGGAGATGTAAACTTTGATGCATATCCAATTATGAAGATAACACACTTTACCCCATTGAAATCAAACCTCTTTACCGAATTCTAGACTAGATTCGACTTCTTAGTGCCACATTCCAAACACTTGACGTAGTCCAGCATTTTGCCCTCGTACAAGTCGTTGATGAGGTTCGCCTGCTAGGTGTCCTTGAATCAACGAGATTAGTACATGAAAGCTCGAGAAAAATACGGCCAAACCTCAGACTATCAACACAATTATTATAAACGAATTCATTCCCCTCGTGACAGCCGAAATACCTAATTTGTTTGTAAACATGCATGCGAAGATGAAGACTTGAATCAACGAGATTAGTCCATGTAAGTTAGACAAGAATTGGGCCAAACCTGAGAAGACGATAAAGTCAACATCATCTCATGCCCCGCTAACTTGGTTATCTATCACTAAACGAATATGAAGACTTGAATCAACGAGATTAGTCCATGAAAGTTAGACAAAAATTGGGCCAAACCTGAGAAGACGATATAGTCAACATCATCTCATGCCCCGCTAACTTGGTTATCTATCACTAAACAATCATTATAAACAAATTTCTTCCCCTCGTGATAGCCGAAATACCTAATTTGTTTATAGTAAAGCATGGGAAGATGTAGATTTTGATGTAGATGCAATTACGACGAGAACAAACTTTGCCTGATCAAAATCGAACTTTCTTTACCGAATTCCGAGGTGAAATGCTAACTTTCCTGGATTAGATGAGCGATTCAAATAAAAGTAGGTGTCGCTACCTTTCGTGGAAAGTTAACACTGAGTCTTTAAGTTCGAGTGTATTCTCGGTATTGATGGAATCATAAAAAAAAACAATGAATGCAATGTGAAGAAGTGATCCTCTCCCGATGAAGATCACTTCAACATTTGCGACAGGTCATAAGTCATATTAGGCAGGTGTAATATTGGCTCTAATATTTCCCAATCAAAGCAAAGGTCAACGCTTCCTTATGATTTCCAATACTGTCTTCTTAGTTGGAATGGGCTGTAGATTCACTCTCTTTGCATATGACACCACTATTAGTAATACTACAAACTCCTATAACTAAGTAGTAGGAATTTCAAGTGTGGCATAGTAGAATGCTGACAACTGCTCTTCGGCGAATCTCTTGTTCTTAAACGAGAACTAAACACTTGATACTTCATTATGAGACAAAGCATGATGTATTATTATGTTACAATACATCAGAGTTAATTTTATCAATTAAAATACACACATTTATTTGAATCCCGGTATTTCAGAAATCTAAAATATATCTATAATTAATATCAATTCTCTGGCTATGATTCCACAGAGTTATCCCCACAATTCGCGATTACATTCATTTAACCTTGTTTTGCGTTCAGGATTGTTAGCGTAGCGTAGCGGTGTCTTACCTGTTGGTCTGCCACCCGAAGCTGTAGGTGAGATCGGTGGTCTCAATCCCAATCCATTAGATATATAAAATATATCTATCAATACTATTCATTCTGGCAATGATTCCGTAGTTATTCCCACCATTCGCAATTGCATTGATTTATACGTGTTTGACTTTTAGGATTGCCGCCGTATACTTTTCAATGATTCATGAATGAAAGTGTCTACCTATTGATATTTAGTCTGCGGATTCGACCCTAACTTGAACTTATGTTTCAACAAGTCGAACATCAGCTCCTGGATGTCGTGCTGGTGCCACACATCGCTGTCCTTCCACCCGAAGCTGTAGGTGAGATCGGTGGTCTCAATCCCGACTTATTAGATTCTTAATATATGACAGAAGTCCATGATATCTCGAAGTAGAGTGAATAATATTCAGATACAAGTTGACTTAGTGTCTTGTGTCTGGATTATTGGATTGTGGCAATGATTCACAGAGTTATCCCCACTCACGATTTCATTAATTTATTCTTGTTTTTCGTGTATTTGTATATATGAATGAATCACTACAGTCTGTATATTTCTTTGCGCGTACGTCACAACTTCAAAAAACGAATCAAATCGATTCAAGGTCATATGTTCCAGTGAAGCAGTGCCGTGCTGCTTCAGAAATTAGGTTAAAATAAATAATATTCAGAGAATTTTGATTCACTACTCCAGGTTATTTTGACTAAGAAACGTTCAATAAAACATAGGAATGTTATATATTTCAAGTGTGAACTCTTTAATTCGTCCATTTATTGAAGACAAAAACATGTATCAGAACTTTGGTATGTATATATGTATGGGTTGGTATATGACCCGATATACACATCTATTTAATGCTTTTGTGAGGTATTCTGTGGTCGTGGTAAAGCCGAACACTGTTGAGTCGTTTTAGGTATTTGGTATATTACTATGCAGCATTTTCCACATTTGCCACTATGGCCAGCATGAAGTACGATAAATCGTTTCCCACCATAACCTTCTGGTTTACATACACTTTTTGTACTTTGATCTTGCCATGATCTCATCTTATTCCCTTTCGCAAATATCCAAGTTTCATCTAAGAAGACGATTTGTCTAGGGTAACTAGAATTGCGATTTTCATAAAACTTTCTGAAAAACTCTGCTCTCATTATAGATATATCCATCTTCTCAACCAATAACCGTCTGTTGTCTTCTTTTTTATATTTGAATCCTACATTTGTGAGGAGTTTGCTTAATGTACCTATACTTGCGTCAAGAATATGTTTAGTTCTGAGTTCTTCTTTCAGAATTCTAAGAGTGATGTGTTTTTCTGTAAAATAGTCAGGTTAGGTTAGTCAAGAAGTATCAAATGAAATCACTTACTTTCTGCATACATAGTATATATAGATCACACTGCTTACTTCCATTTTCAAATTATCATACAGATCTACTGGCTGGATCAGGGCATCGGCGACACGCTAAAATTATGTATATCATGATGACATTCTGACTATTTTATTATTGATCAGCAAGAATTATGATTTACCTGTTGTATGGAAGTACACGGGATTCAAGGACCATTATTATCTTTCTCTCTTGTGAAAAATTGTCACAAATTCGATACAAGACTTCGTACTTGCAATTTCAAACGTCTTCCTGACATGTTGAATATTATTTGACAATGGCCACGCAAAACGATGTAATTTCAGCACCTACTGCACGCCTCTGAATTAGCCGATTCAAATGTGTGTCGACATACTAACACCTCTGTATTCAAGCTTTTAACCCGTTGAGTTCAAAAACGATGTCGTAACTTATGTCAACAAACGTCATGATAGACATTGCTGCTCTATATGCAAGTCTGAAGAGGATAGCGCGTAGGTCTATGCTAATTTCAGTCACAGCAAAGAAAAATTTTACAGACTGTATCTACCTATTGTTATTCTGATTGTCTTCATCACCTCAAGAAGCATTATTTAGCCTGAATATTCGACCCTACCTTGAACTTCTGTTCCAACGCGTCGAACATCACCCGGCACAGCTCCTGGATGTCGTGCTGGTGCCACGCGTCGCTGTTCTGCCATCCGAAGCTGTAGGTGAGATCGGTGGTCTCGACGGCCGACTTGGCGGACGTCTGCAAGTTCAGGAACAGCCGCTGCAGCTGGTAGGGGATCGAGCGCGCCTCGTTCTGCCCGTCGAACTCCCAGTTGTAGAGGGCGTTGCGGAACTCGGGCGTCATGTAAAGCGCCTGCAGCAGGCTGTTCAGGTAGCATGTCATCGCTTGGTTGACGAGGCCGACGTAGGAGTGCGCTTCTGTGGGTATGGGCTGTGGGTGGGACCTGGAAGGATAGGCTAGTGAACTATTTATTTTCCTTTCTTCTTAACGTCAATATCGCCTGTCACCTTCATCTTCAAATCCTTGGTTCATCTAGTCAAGATGCGAATATTCAAAGATAATCCTCAGATTATCTGATTATTCAGTTGTGTGATGTATTGTGTTCTGTTATCTGCAGTAAGTAATCAGTCTAAAAAGTTCATTTCTTATTTTGATAAAAATGAGAATCAGAAAAGGTCCTTCCCTTGTCTTACAGATATAGAAAATGCATACGTAAGTCGAATCTAATATGATTGCATTGGATTATTACGTCACGCGGTTTCCCGCGTTTTTCATGTTATGAAATATCGTGAATTTCAATAATTATTTAAAAAATGTATGGAGCTCTGAGGAAAAAACGGTTCACGACAGTGGACTAATTAGTTAGGGTTATAGTACCGTTAAATGAGGTGTCTTTGGACAGTACGTGTGTCGGAGAATCGGTAGATTTCCTCTTTCAATCAAGAATACCGCTGAAGTGGAGATCACTATCGACTAAATTCTTTGGCGTGTTCATTCTAGTTAGAAGAGATTCGGCGATTGTGAGTGATTTCAGTGTAGAAAGGCAAGTTCGCCTATTTTACGTCTGTATTTATATAGGTTTTATGGCATTCTTTCAAAAATGAAAAAGTAACTGTTGTAGGGACTTTCGGGCTAAATTTAGAGCATATTAGTAATTATATTTTGCAAGGCTCAAGTCCAAAGAATGTTTCGACCATATATTCGGTCTTCAATATCATTTTTTATATACAGGTAGATAACCAGAATAACCGCCCTTCTGTTAGTGATTTCGGACATGAGCCGGAGCTATAGAAAGGTCGTTTCTACAGAAACTACACCAATGAAAAATTAGTTACCATAAGTACCAACTTGATTTTGATTGAAATGACAACAAGGAATATGCTTGCACTTGTCTTACAGAAATAGAGGATTTATACATATGCCGAGTTTTTTAGGTTCACGTCACGCCTTTTCCAGCATTTTTCATGTTGACTAGTTGGGATTAATACTTCGAAAATATGAAATACAATTTTCCACTGAAACAGGCCCATTGTGTCCGAAGTTGATAGAGGAGTAGCTAAATGTTTTCAAATGAAAAAAATAAAGTATTTTCAAAAACAAAAACAGAAGTTTTATCTCACTATCCGATAAAGCAATGAATATTAGAAGAGGAAAAAAACGATTTGTCGAAAAGTTATGACGAAAAAACTGAAAATAATGTCTGAAGTCACCTCATTTGACAGTACTTCGAGATAATGAACTAAAATGTTTCAATGCAACTGGCCTATATTCTCCTACCTGGAGGACGACGGGAAGTTGTCGTACTCGCTGGTCGGGGCGGGCGGACCCTCGCCCGCCCCGGGCAGCCCCTCCCCGGCCGTCGGGCTGGCCGACGCGCCCAACAGCAGATCGTCCTCGCCGGCGTCGGGCACGAACAGCGCGATCGGCTGCTGGACCTTCGCGCGGCCCAGTATGATGGTGAGGCGGTCGAGCGGCGTCCATCTGATGCCAGCCTCCTGCACGGTCTTGTCTCTGCTGTGGTTCAGGACATACTGGAAGGAATAGAAGAAGCAGGGGTGGTGGGATCGTTCGAAAATTTTATGATGGTTTGCTTTGTTGGGATTGAATTACTATCTAGTAGAGTCACTGGATGGTATTAGTTAGATGAGAGTTAGGACACAGAAATGACAACTGTAAGTGTTTTTGAATGTTTAGATTTATTAAGTTGCACACCTTGCATTATGACAACAGCATCATCAAGATGACTTAGTGTGTCTTGTGTCTGGATTATTAGATTGTGGCAAAGATTCCACAGAGTTATCCCCATTCGCGATTTCACTAATTTATTCGTCTACCTATTGTTATTTTGATTGTCTTTATTACCTCAAGAAACATTATGATGCTATATATTGATAGCTTTCTATAACAGCAGGTATATAAGATTTCTTACATTCTACAAATTATTCAGAGGTGAGATCATCTAGACAAAAAATATCAAATAGTGATATTTGATTGTGATAGGAATGAAGATAGTTACAGATATTTACAATATGTTTTGCATTCTTATAATATATTAGAATTATGACACCTAGGTGAAAGCACACCTGTATGTGTCTTGAATGGAAATGTTCGAAATGTACATGAATATTTTAGTGAAAAAGATTGAGGTGAACTTTTCATATGTTTATATGACATAATTTAAAGTATACGGAGAAACTAAAAGTATATACATTATCCTAAGAAAATATTATACAATTTCGAATAATTTTGGAAAATATGTATTTTGCAGATGAATCTATATTTTTGTAACAATTTTATATGTAACGGTAGTAACATTTGGGTCCTAAATAGTTCACACAATTTTTGAAAAACTCGGCTTATCAACTCCAATAAGCATCTTAGATACAATTTTCAGGGATTCATGATTTCTCAGGTGGCAACATACTGTATGAATGAATAAACATCTGATATTTGAAATATTCTATATTACAATGGTTTGAGGGAATAAAAGAACAAGACATATATTATTCTGATCTTTGTCATTTCAATTTCGCTAGTAGCGCCTGATTGTCAGATATGATTTGAAAAGTTAGATTTTCTGTCAAATCAATCATTGTCATAGATGGAAAATAGAAATATGGTGTAAATACCCACTTCAATATATATAGCGATACACTTTTCGCAGAACATTAGTTATAAAAATAAAAAGAATTCATATAACATTTTGATTTGACAAAATAGACACATTTGGATATACTCATAACTAGTCCTTATCTCGGTCCTTATTGTATGTAAAACTCGTGTAAAACTGTACCCGAGTGATAAAGTTTCCACCTTTTGCTGCATTCACTTTTTAATGATAAATTTTGAATTTGGTCGGTATTGAAAACGCCATTCAATGATATTATATCACGTTGCAATTTACTTGATTTCCTCAGTTTAGTTCTCAAATTTTCAATTTCATTACTATAGTTTTGCAATCAATTCGTCTAATATTGTTTTGCATTTCGTGTGATGACAATATTGATTTTTTTATAAATAGTCTGTTTTGTAAATCAATGGAACAACGTATCTTATAGATCTTCTGTTTGAAAATGTACCTAAAAGATAGTTTCATTCCAATCTGCTGTTATAAGAATTTTAATGTAGGTAGTTACCTCACAAATTTTGCCTGTCCTCAAATTAATTTTCCATCCAGGCCATTTCATACATTCCTTCTATAAGGGAATAATGGTTGATATGTCCTTTGGAAAATTGAAGAAATGAAATCGCTATTCCCTTAATAATTCCGGCAATTCATTACACAGCAGGACATTTTCATTTATGCTTTCTTTTCAATAGTTTATGACATTATATCTCAATTCTGACGTTCATAAATTTTTTTGCCAAATTCAAACAATTTTGAATGAAAAAGCGCGGAGGTGCAAAGTGTGTAACTTAATAAATCTAAACATTCAAAACTAACAGTTGTCATTTCTGTGTCCGAACTCTTATCTTACTAATACCATCTAGTGACTCTTATTAAAGTTTGACTTTTCATCTCTGTTGAGAGGTTATAGAATGTCACTTTCCAGAAATTAATTTTTTCCCGGATATATTATATACACTGTTGATGGCTTTTGTTGTGCTAATTAAAAAAATAAGCCATATCACCGTCTCCGAGAAAGAACTGCAAGTCCTTTTATCTTCCATTCCAGTTCGCGGTTACGTAAACTACCTACTAAACAACCACCAAGTTCGAAATTTTTTGAAATCAAATCACAGAATAGACCATTTAACGCTGAGCGATGCTTTCGACAAATTGGATATCATTATTTGTTTTTTCTTTATTGGCAACATTTACGATTCTGTCATTTCACACAATGTTCAAATTCTGTCACGCTGTCACGTTCAGTGCTGTCATGTCAAGCCAATGCCAGTTCAAATTCAAATCCGAAATTATTTCGAACTTTCGAAATTGGAGAAAGGAGAAGAAAGAAAGCCCGGACATGAATGTGTGAACAATGGATGAGAAATACTTCTGAAATCAGCAAAAAATTATCATTATATGAGTTTCCAAGAAAAATTCACTGAAGGACGGAATGGATGAAAAATATTGGAGAATCGGGCATAGGATGGAATCGAAATTTCATTCAAATATCACAATTACGAACTTTTCTTCTCATCTTGACGTCAGCAATATGCTCCTGAATTTTCTACACGTACTTAAGAAACACCCTGTATAAATTGATGTGTTCCGCCAAATTTTCATAGTGTCATCATTTAAAGAAATATTGAAGACTGCTTGTTTTCAAATTGTCACCCTGTATGATGGTCAGGTTGCCTTGCCATAGTAACAACAGTTTTTTCAGATTAAATTAAAAGTACCAATACCAATGCGATTTGTTTCCATTATAGGAAGTTTGAATTAATTCATGAGTTAAAAAAAGCCATTTGAATTAATTCACGAATTAAATCACTGACTTACTTCATATGAATTAATTCATGCCAACCCTGCTTTATAATACGTATCAGTTGACTTATTAGACTATATGCTTGGCCTCTTATACCAACTATAATCAATATGATTTGACGTACAAAACAAGGAAAACAAAGATTGGACCTCACCATTTCCAGAACAGCATGGAAATGATTCAAGTCTTGAAACATTGCAAGCTCAGTTCGGAGCAAGGGAGGAAAATAAAATCTATGATAAATCTCATTAAGCGGTACAAAATGAGTAAGTTTGAGGATACTTTTCAGTAATGTACAGTGTGTCCATTTAGTGCGTAATTCTTCGATATCTCGAAAGCCATAACCTATAGAGAAAAACTTTGGAAAAAAAAACTTTTTCAGTTACTAAAGTTGCTCATTTCAAAAATATTTTCAACAATACTGGGTGTTTTATAAAAGCGGGGCAACTCGAAGAAGTTTTTTTAAATGGAACACCCAGTATTGTTCATTCGGAATGAATTTCGCCGAGGTTCACCTTCACATCGCTGTAAAAGAAATTTAAATCGGTTGCGGCGTTGCCAAATTATGATTGATAAATCAATTTTTTCCATTATTGAAGAGTCATGTTGAATTGGGCATGGTATATTCATTTATTCAAATGTTGAAAACATTTTTGGCATACGGTAGAAGCAAGGTCCCACGTATACCAATCCAGTAATTTTGCGACATGTTCTTCAACAGGGTGCTCAATTTTGCATTTAGAATTTTGCAAGATTCAGATGACATTTATCAGAATTTTTCAAATGGAACACCCTGTATTTTAATTCAAAAATTCATTCCGACATCTTTCGCCTTTTTATCGCTGGAAAAAAAAATCGAAATCGGTTGCGGCGTTGTCAAGTTATGGATAATTTCCTTATTTTTACTACTATTTCGGGGTTATTTGTACGTCATAGTTGTTTCATTAATTTTTATTGTGGAAATATTGCGTTGCTACGGTATTATCAAATTTGTTCATTGACCATCCATATATTTTTCCAAAATAGGAACATTTACAGGCTCTCCATGTTTGAATTTTTTTCGAATATTTGTGTAATGACCTGTCAAACATCGCCACAATCAAAATATCTTGGATTGATTCGGAATTTTGCTGAGTTCCATTCCCCTTCAAGTCGAATGGAGATTGGGATTGTGGGAATAACGACAATGAAAATGGCCGTATATTCAAAGAATTGTCCTAATTTTCGCAATCCGCATCTTCATTGTTTGTATTGTAGTTGTTTCAAAGACAGCCGTTGCTTTTGACATGTTTGTTCGTTTCACATATTATTTAAATCATAACTAACAAGATTACGGAATATTTCAAATTTGAACGATGCACATATCGCAAAAATACCTGAATGATCTATGTAGAACCTCGAATGTCACTCAAATCAAATAAAGGAACCATCATGACGTACAAATTACCCCAAAATAGTAGTAAAAATAAAGAAATTACTCATAACAGTCATAACTTCAAAACGCCGCAACCAATTCTGACTTTTTCTTCAGCGATAAAAAGGCGAATGATGTCGAAATAAATCTGTGATGAAAAATACAGGGTGTTCCATTTGAAAAATTCTTATGATCGTCGTCTGAATCTTACAATATTCAGAATGTAAATTTTTGCACCCTGTAAAGGATTATCTCGCAAGATTACTGGATTGGTGTACGTGAGACCTTGCTCCTACTGTATGCCAGAAATATTTTCGAAATTTCAATAAATAAATATACCATACCCAATTGAACATGACGCTTCAATAGTAGTAAACATGGGTTTATCAATTATAACTTGGCAACGCCGCAACCGAATTGAATTTTTTTCACAGCTATGTAGAACTGAACCTTAGCAGAATAAATTTCGAATGAACATTACTGGGTGTTCCATTTAAAAAAACTCGTCTTCGAGTTGCCCCGCATTTATAAAACACCAAGTATTGTAGGAAATATTTCTGAAATGAGCAACTTTAGTAACTGAGCAAGTTTCTTCTCCAAAGTTTTTCTCTTGTGATGATTGATTTCGAGATATCGAAGAATTACGCACTAAATGGACACACTGTATACTGCATAATGCAGTGCT